ACTCTGTGGGCCTGTCTGGCCTTTGGACTCCAACAGGCAGGCTGGTGTGTTACCAGGTGCGCAGTTACCTGTCCAGTTTATCCAGCTGTCTCCCTGTCATCATTCTCTCAGGGGCCAACCCCTGGCAGAATTGGGAAGTCAGTCCAAGGCCCTCCCCCAGCTTCTGCAGATCCCTTTTTGTGGCTCCACCAGACACCATTCATTAGTGATGTCTCACCACTGCCCTTACCATCATTATCTCCCTGAACCACAGGCTCCCAGTGCCCTCCTAGGCTCCACCACAACCCACCCACACTTGGCAGACTCACCATGCTAACCTGCTCTCAGTTAGCCATCACATGGAAACAGATGTGATCAGTTGAATCAACTGTATCAACACATGAAAGTCTTTTTAAGTTTTATTCATTTAGGGGATAATTTCTTAACCCAGAGAAATAAAGGTGCTTCAATGAAAGAATTCCAAGCATCAGTAATAGTCCAGTGAGAGGAATTCTGGTACTCATTAAATTGTGCCAGTAGGCAGCTTTCTAAGGCTTCTTTTCTGGCCCCCAGTATACACGCAACTACTCTGTAATTCATAGGTTTTACTTACCCTTACTCTGTAATTCACACACGTCACTCTTCACCCTCTACCACATAAAAACAAAGCATTCTCTACTACTATTTGTACTTCTGTGCTGTCTTTTATTGTGTGTTTTGACTGTCTCCTCTTGTATCCATCCCTGTCCTTTTATTGTTTGGTCTGTGTTTCTGAGGTTTCACATTGCATACTTAAAAAAGGAATTGCCTCTGTCTGTGTCTCTGCAGCATACATTCAGCACCCTATATTTGATATGTCTGCAAGATCATGAAACTCTGGTGAGGGAGGGGAGAATGGAGCTGCAAGCTGTCTGTCTCATCCAGCCCATGCATGTAGCTATCTGCTCAGGCATTCTTTGTGTCCTCATTTGCCCTGACTCCTTAATCGCCAAACATTTATTATACCCCTACTGTATGCCGGGCACCATGTGCTAGAAGGGCAAAAGACAGTCCCTACTCTCAAGGAGTTCACATACAAACAACTCTATACAGACAAGCTAAGAGCAGAGATCAGGTAATCAAGATGGCAAGCACTAGAATTAGTTATGTCAAGGTGGGATTTTAGTTGGGATGGAAGGAAGCCAGGAGACAGGGATAAGGAAGAGGGAGAGTATTCTAGATGGGGCGGACAGCCGTGGGTTAGGAAATGGAATATCTTGGGGAGAATAAGAGCAAAGAGGCACAAGGTGAGAGAAGACTGGAAGGGGGGTGCGGGGGGTGGATTATGAAGGACTTTGCCAAGGATCGTATTTGACATTTGATTTTGGAAGTGATAGGAAGTATGGGGAGCCAAGCGAGAAGGTGGGGCAACAGGATCAGATCTACACTTTAGGAAGATCACGATGACAGCTGAGGGCAAGGATGGATTGGCGGGGAGAGCCTGGTAACAGGGAGACCAACCAGCAAACTATTGCACATGGTCAGGTATGAGGTGATGAGGGCCTCTTCGATGGTGGCAACAGTGTCAGGAGAGAAGTGGGACTCACGGGAGAGATAATGGGAAGGTAAACAAGCTTGGATATAGGCGGTGAGAGAGTGAGGAGGAGGAGGAAGCTGGTGTAACTGGGAGGGTAGTGGTACGCTTGAAAGTCAAGGGAGGGTTTGGGGGAAAAGATAATGGGCACAGTTTTGGACCTTGAAGTTATCTATGGGCCATCCAGTTTGAGATGCCTAATGCACAGTCTTCATAGTCCCTTTCCACTCTCTGGCCTCTCCCTGCCTTTCATGTATATACCCTTTTTCTACTCAATATTTAATTCAAATTAGTAATTATAAACTACACATGTGTAAACCCAGTAAAAAGGTTTGCTTTGTTTTAGGCATTTGTGTTTGGATAAAATGCATTTTTTACTTGTGTCTCTGTCTGAATACCTAGGCAAGCAGCTTTTGGCAGTTCTGGCAAGGCTTTTGTAAAAACCAACAGTTAATCTTGCATAATTGGGGGAACACTTCAGACACTGGTCTGCCTGAGATGAGCTGGGAGGGAGGCTGATGCCAGCCCAGAGGTGCAAGGGGCGCCCTCTGCTGGCATGAGGCATGGCTCCCGCTGAGAAGGCAATAGGTCTGTTTATAGTAATTACTCGGGACCCCATTTCTCCCACCAATATTCTCATTCTAAAAGTGGGAGAGGGTGAGAAAGGAGATTTTTGAAACATTTTGAAGCATCCTGCTCCACTGCCAATCTTAGCCTTCGTCCTTTGGAAATGCTCAAATGATACATTTCTGTACAAGAGCTTTATAAACTGTAAAGCACCGTAGGGCATTTATTATTTTCACTCACATTGTAAGTGAGAAATATATAGCTACAAAATAATGTCATGTCCTATAAACTGACTCTGAAGGCAGTTCCTGCAGGAGAGTTAAAAAATGCTGTGACCTTTGGCAGCTTCACAGCCGGCACTGATGCAGGATGATGGGATAGAGTGCTGGGCCTGGAGCTGGGAAGACCTGAGTTCAGATCACACCTCAGACACTAAAATGGCTGTTTGACCCTGGGAGAGTCACTTAACCTATCCTGTTCTCAGTATCCCCATCTCTAAAGTGAGGAGGTTGGATTTAATAAACTCTAAGGGGCCTTTCAGCTCTAAACCTGTGATCCTAGAAATGAGTCTGCAGCCTCCAGGGGTGGCTGTTTTATGTCATGACCCTCATTTGTGTGTATAAGTTGTGGTCTGTTTGTTTAAAAATCAGTCCTATGTAACCCATGCACATAGAATAGTGTGTCTAGGAAAGTAATGACTGGGGGGGGGACTCTCGTATGTGAGAGAGCTCACTTTTCAGGGTTACATACCACAGCCTCAACTTTGTAGCACATAGCCAGGAATGAGGAAGCAAACAAGAAATAATAATAGCTCGTGGTTAAAAGGTACCTTTTTAGTTACTTGATCTAACTCGATCCTCAAAATAAACCTTGGCTCAGAAAGATTAAGTTAACTCGCCCAAGGTCACATTAGCTATTGATTCAACAGGCTTTTACAAAATGCCTACTGTGTGTCCAACACTGTGCTGGGTACTGGAATACAAATAGATAGTCCTTACCCTCCAGAGGGTCACCTTCTATTGGGCAAGGGTGAAGGCATGAAGACAGAAAAGTAAATGCAAAGCAGTTTCCTTGAAGGGGGGTATGGGGGAGGTTTCTTGTAGGCAATGGTCCTTGAGCTGAAGCTGGGGCAGAGGTGAATGTGTACCTGCTCCAAGGCAGAGGTCCAGCAGGAGATGGAATGGCCTGAGGCAGGGCTGGTTTGCCGGAATCACAGAATGCAAGCTGGAGGAGAGTGTGCAGTAAGCCTGGAAAGCCCAGTTGGAGCACTCTGAAGGCCCTGGAGCTTACTCAGGAAAGGGTGACCCAGTCGGACCTGTGCTTGGCAGGTGTCCGACTGACAGCCTCGTGGAAGAGGGAAGCCTGCAGGTAGCAGGAGGCTATTGCAGTAGTCTGGGTAGGAGGCAAGAAGGGCCTGAACCAACATAGTGGTTCTGTGAGGGCAGTGAAGGGGACCGGTGCAGGAGATGTCCCAGAGGCAGAATTGACAGAATTTGGCAACTGATTGGGTGCAGTAGGGTGAGGAAGCAGAAAGAATTGAGGAGGACCCAAAGGTTGCACACTTAAGTAACAGGAAATGTGGTGGTGCCTTCCACTAAAATAGAGAAGTTAGGAAGAAGGGGAGCTTGGCAGAAAGGCCATGAGATCTGTTTCAGATGTGTGTGGGACATCCACTGGGAATGTCTAATTGGCAAGGGGTCGTACCAGATGATACTTAGTAGAGAGGAGAGGTAGAGCTGACCTATAGACGTGGTGGGAAGGCAGTCACATTGAGATGATACTGAGATCGCCCTTGGAGAAGAGAGGGCCCAAGCCAGAGGCTTGGGATCCACCCACACAGTGAGACCTGGATGATCTAGCAGAGAGACAGGAGGAAGAGGGCTCAAGAAGGGTGAGGAGAAAGTGAGGGAGGAGGTGAGGCAGCAAGCCTGGGCAGGGGTCTGGCTGTGAAAGGAATGGGAGACAGCCTGCTGGAAGGGTGCAGTCAAGCAAAGGCTTGGATGAGCTTTTTGGCATCAGAGAAGCTGGTAGGCTAGGAAGACAGGGAGACTAGAGAGAGGAGGTGATTGGGGAGGGGGTCGGCGCTTGATATTGATGAACTCTGTTCCTGGGAGAGCCCCCTCACCTGTGTTTCCTGTTGCACTAAACACTGCTGAGGAGGCCTCTTTATCTCATTTCCTAACCTCACCAGATTAGAAACAAGCAGCAAGTGAGGCTTAGAGGGAATTGAGTAAGGGGGAGGAGGGGAAGAGGAGCTATTAAAATCAATCACAAGAACTCAGAAAGCACATCAGTCTGGATTGGTTGATTGGGGAGGCAGCCCTGTCTGCTCTTCCTGGTCATTTAACTCCTGGTTTTCTGTCCTGGTGACAGCAAAGAACATTGTGTAGTGTAGAGGGGTTGCATCACGTAGGGAAAGTGCTGTCAGCTTTATCTGCAAGACTGACCAATATTCTGAAGAAGCTGTTTACAGACAATTACTGTTTCAAAGTTTTGAGGGATGTATAATAATAAAAATGAGCCATGTGTTGTTTTTTCTTTTGGATACAATTTTTTTTTAATATTTCAAGGGTGAAGATTCAAGGAAACTACCTTTAAAACTTTTAAAATTGGAGGGGAAATGGCTGTGCTTTTTAAATGTGTATCACTGGCTAGAAAATACATTTTAAGTATGTAGGGATGTGACATTTTCAGAGTTAATTTTCATTCTGTGAAAGGGCCCCACAGACCTAAATGAGTAAAAGCCTCTGCTGTAGGGCAGCAGATGGGCCTGGACTCCACGTGAGGCTGAAGCACAGAGTAAAACCAGCACTTCCCTGAGGACCAGAATGGAAGAGCTCTGGGTGGTGATGAATGCTTTCATTCCTTTTCTCTCTGACAGGACGTAATGAGCCCCTGAAGAAGGAGAGGCCCAAGTGGAAGAGTGACTACCCCATGACAGATGGACAGCTGCGGAGCAAGCGCGATGAGTTCTGGGACACAGCACCTGCCTTCGAAGGCCGGAAGGAGATCTGGGATGCGTTGAAGGCAGCCGCCTTTGCAGTGGAGGCCAACGACCATGAGCTCGCTCAGGCCATCTTAGATGGAGCGAGCATCACCCTGCCCCATGGTGAGCAGAGCTGGGGATCATCAGAGTAATGGGGCATCTGGGCTGAGGGAGCAGGTCAGCCAATGGTCAGACGTCAGGAGTAGAAAGAAGGTTTGGAGTAGATCTCAGGGGGAAGGAGAGGGGAGACGTTCCCCATCGTTCTCCTAATGTCTTGTTCTTCCCGTAGGTTCTCTGAGTGAGTGTTATGATGAGCTAGGCAATCGCTATCAGCTCCCTGTCTACTGCTTGGCACCACCAGTCAACTTGCTTCTCGAGCGCAGTGAGGATGATGGGGTAGAACCTCCAGAACCAGCCCCCAGTACCCGGCGTGAGTTCCCTCTTAAGGTGCGCCTGTCCACCGGCAAGGATGTGAGGCTCAACGCCAGCCTCTCTGACACGATTGGGCAGCTCAAGAGGCAGCTGTATGCCCAGGAGGGCATTGAGCCTTCCTGGCAGCGCTGGTTCTTCTCTGGGAAGCTGCTTACAGATCGCATGCGGCTACAGGAGACCAAGATCCAGAAGGATTTTGTTATCCAAGTTATCGTCAACCAGCCCCTGCCACCCCAGGACTGACATTCCCAGAGGGAGGGCAAGGAAAGGGGCTCCTTCCTACACCTGGAACACCAGGCTTCCCCTCCTGCTGCCCTTGAGTACTGTCATCCTCTTCAGGTGATACCTTCCTTGGTTGCTGCTTCGTGGGCAGTGAAGAAACACTGCCAGCTGCATCTGGGGTTACTTGACAAAGGCTCTGAGAAGCAGTGCTGCTACATACAAGCCCCCAGAATAGGGTTTTTTGCTGATCCCGGTGCAAGAAATGCAGAGGATTGCTTACTTCTCCTGGGTTAACACGGTGGCCTTCTAGCTACACCTCTCCCATGGCAGGGTAGGGCAAATCACTTCTGGCTAAAGGGCCAGCAACCCATGGCCCATTGGGCCCAGATCTATCTAGTCTGGTGCTGTAGGCTGTGCTTACTACCAGCTTTTTCCTCAGGGTTGGAAGCAGCTTCTGCCTCCCCTCTACCCCCGGCTCTGTTGTGGGCATGGTGCCAGTTCCCCAGTAGTGAAGGGGACCAACAGTGAGTCCCTGGGAGTGGTGAGAGCTGGTGGGGGCCATCACCTCTTTCCCTGCCCCAGCACAATTGGCAAGGATGAGGGTGTATGGCAAAGATGTAGCCTGAGCCTTTCCAGAATATTTCTGGACAAAATCATCTTCCCAGATGGAACCCTGGCATGGCTGTCTCCAGGCTGGTTGTCTTTCCCGTGGTGGGTCCTTGTGTACAGAAATATTTGCCTATTTATCAATAAAGCCTTTTGCTCCTTCTGTCTTGTCTGGTGCTTGATGTCTCCCTGTCATAGGTCTCTTCTAGAATGTTAACTCAAGGATTCCCTAGAACCCTCCAATACTGAACATTAGAGTTAGACATAAGTTTTCAATGTACCAAAAGCTAAGGCCCAGCTCAGAAGTATAAAGTGACTAGTCCAGGGTCACACAGCTAGTAAATGCCTGAGCCAGAACTTGGCCTCAGGCCCTGGGATTCCACCCTAGCTTCCCTGCTAAAGGGCAGGGTCAGCAGGAGCTCTGGGGCTAGAAGCCCCTCTGCCAGGAGCCGCCCTCTGAGGAGCTTGACTGCAGGAGAGATTTCCTGGGCCAGAGTTGCCTGAATTTGACTCTGGGGTCATGGTGTGCCCACTTGTAGAGTGGCGGGGCATGGACACAGCTAATGTGGCTTCTAGCGTTGCACAGCTGGTTCTCAGAAGCCAAGGAGCCCACAACCCACAGCTGCCGAGTTCTGTTCCTGAGTTGTGATTTTGATGGTTGACTCCAGTTGCCCTTCCTTCCACCCTTCCTGGAGCCCTCTCTATTCTGAACCATCCCCGTCCCCAAGAGGAAGTCAGCATCCTTTTCTCTAGTGCAGGCGGTGTCTGTCAGGAGACTCCATCCCTCATTAGTTGGTATCTTGACCATGCCGGTAGCTCCTTGTCTTTTCTTTTTAGAGCAGTACTAAGCCCGGGCACAAGCCTAGAGATCTTCCCGTGCCCAGAAGGTGGTGCTGTGAGCCTGGAGCTGGCCCCTGCTCCCTGTACTCAGGGCAAAATTGGACTCCTGTTGGCCCTGCATTCCAGACCTGGCTGGCACCCAGGAGCAGGCATGTAAGGGAGAGTGCACTGTCCCCAGAACCTCAGTGCCAGCTCCTCACTATGCTGCCTCCCCCTCCTGTCTCAGTCTACCCATAACAGTTTGCTTCTTTAAAACCACAACCCCCGCTTGCTGTGTCTGTTCGCACAGCTGGGTTCCCTCCAGGCAATTGCTTGGGTTTGAAGGTGACCCAGGGTGAGGGGAAGCTGTTAGTGAATTCAGCCGGTGAGCTCATGACAGAAGCTCCCAATTCCTCCAGGGGGAGGGGGTGTCCAGCTCTATAAAGGCTCTGCCATCTCATCGGGCCAGGCCAGCATTGTGAGGCTGGGGGCAGAAGCTCAGTTCTGTGGCCATGGCAGGCTCCGAAGAGGTTCAGAGGGCAACAGAGCTGATCGAGCAGCGCCTGGCAGAGGAAGAGGAGAATCAGGTACTGGGACTTGGAGGGGAAATGGTGGAGTGGATGGAGAGAAGGTCTCTTGGGATCCAGAGCCACACTGAGAGGATAAGGAAGGACTTGGAGCTGTAGCTAGTAAGTTTGAAAGAAGGGATGGGCTCTGGAGGGACAGGGGTAGTGAATGTTAAAAGGGAAAATATTCCCCCACGTGGGTTCCTGACAGTTACTTATCCTGGGGGGAAAGAGGATCGTCCCTAATCTCATGTGACTCCTTTAGGGGTGACCTCCAGGTTGCTAGAAGCTGGCTACCAGTACCTGGGGTCCATCCTAGAAGTGATGTACCCGTCCTCCTGATGATTGAGGGTCTCAGAACAAAGAGAAGCCCACCTATGAGACCAGCTAGGAGAAAGGGCAAAGTTAAACACTGCTGGAACTGGGGACCGAGACAGGGCAATGTGGCCACTTGGGAGAGCAAAGGTGGGCTAAAGGGTCATTGCTTAAGGATGTCTTCCAGCAGCAGCCAAAGCAGTAGGTGACCCTGAAATGACAGAGTAGAAGGCAATTTTTCATCCTCTGTATGAAGTCACCAGCAGCTGTATAGAAGAGCAGGACAAGGAGAGGGGAAAAACCTAGTTTTGGAAACTGGAGAGGTCAGAAGGTCAAAGAAAAGAGGAAGGGATAAAAAAGGAGGAAGTAAAGAAGGGACATTGTAGCTCAATGTCAACCAGAAGTTGCTGGAGCTTGGGCCGGGACTCAAATAATGTGGCAGAGTGTGGGCACAAGGTTGAAATCTCTATTTCCTCTCTATGTTTGTCACTGTCTCAATGTCTTTATCACTTTCTCTGTCTCCCTCCGTGTGTCTTAAACACATACTCCAGTTTACGAATCCTCCTTTCCACTGGCCAGAAGCATGAAAATGAATCCGTATCATCTCTGCCCTGGAGTCCTGCCACTGACTTTCTGGCGCATGAAGTCCAAGGACTCAGCAGTCCTCCATCCATTCATTCAAAGCTCAAAGAACTTAGAACATAGGGTTATCACAGGACTAGGCTTCATACAAGGAGAGGGAAACAGCCCTGGCCTGACCAGGATGTTCAAGTTTTGAGTCCCTAGAAAAGTTAAAAAAAAAAAATCTGATTTCTAAAAAACAGAGCTGTCAGATACCCCCAGGCTGAGAATAGTTAGGGCATCAGTGTTCAGTACAGGTGTCTTGGGGCAAATGCTCCCATTTGTCCTGAGAGGATAGTCTGAGTTCAGCTGACGTTTTGCAGATTTTAAATTGGGGTGGGATTAAGTGGGATTTCTAGTTTGGGGGATCCTTAGGAAACCTGGGCAGTTCTACTTTTGGTGTAGAAGCCAACTTGTTGAATAGCTATGAAATTCCAAGCTGAAGCTATGCCATTTCCCTAAGACAATGGCCTAGTCAAGAGCCAATGCCCGATCTCACCCTGGTCTAGCTAGATTCTATACCTTGGGGGTGGGCTGGAGCCTTTGAGGGGGAGTAAGAAGCAAAGCTGACTGTAATTGTGGCAGAGCAGTAGGGGAGTGGGAAGCAGGTACATATTGTTCAGCTTCCACAAGTTTGAGGACATTTGACCGCCTCACTGAAAACTGCCAAAATGAGAACTTGTCCCATTTCCAGGGAAATGTCAAGAGAACAGTGTATCAAATCATAAATAATTCTATGGTAAGAGATGGAACATAAAATGAGACTTCTATGAGAATGGGAAAAATATGTATGGTCTGCCTAATTTTTTAAAAATTTAATTTTTTAAACCTAGCTTCTGTACTCTCCCCTTATTTTTTGTTTTTTACCTCAGTTATGAAGTCTAAGCCCTTTGTCTCACTGTGACTGTCCCATTACCTTAATAATGGTGTATACATATGTACTAAGCGCCTACTACATGCCAGGGTCACCTACTATGTGCTAAGCCCTGAGTCAAATGCCACCATAATGTAAGAATGGAAACATCTCAATTAGAGCTCTCTGAATATAGAATGTGCTGTCTCAGGAGGCAGTGGATTGATTCTCTCTTACTGGAGGCCTTCCAACAAGAGTTGGGTGACTTAAGAGGAATGGTGTGGAAGCAAGTGATACTTAGGTGCAGATCAGGCTAGCTGACCTCAGGTTCCTTCCAACTCAGATTCAAGAATGTGTGGTTTTGGTGGTATTGGGTATTGCACTGGCACAGATGGTCATCCTTCTTACTCACAGTAATAAATGGTCTTCAAAAAACTAATGAATGTGTAGCTAACCCTATAGTGAACCTCTCTGGACTTGGTAATACCTCGAGTAACATCTACTAAAGCTCAGACTGTCCCCTGACTGCCTTTGAGAATCCATGCAAGGCACCAGAGTAGGACTTCAGTGGAGGCAACCTCTATATTAATTACTATAAAACATAATCTTATTCCTCCACCCACAAAATTGGTCTGAGTTAAAAGCGGTTGCCTAATAGCTACCTAATAATTCATTAATCATTACCCTGAGTTAGGACAGGAAGTAGGAAAGGGTTCATTGTGGAGAAACAGGACAAACAGGAAATCAGGAGAAATGGCCCCCTCCAGTTTCTGGCTTCTTTGCTACCAGCAGCAATGCCAGGATGTGATTCTCCCTGGCCTAGTTGTGGCCTAGAAACCCTACATCTTTCCCCTTCTCCTCAAATTAGCTTTATCTCCCTCCCATCCTCCTACCCACACTACTCCTGATCTTTGAACCAGTCCCTGATTTTAGATTCCCCAATTTATGACCTGAGAATCTGCTCTGAGAATAATGAAGTCCTGGGCACATGCTTCTGAGTGGTGTGAGAAGGGGCGTAGATTCCAGTGAAGGTAGCTTGATGGCTTTCTTAATGGTATGGGCAACTAGGTGGTGCAGTGGATAGAGTGCCAGGCCTGGGGATAGGAAGACCTGAGTTCAAATCCAGCTTCAGGCACTTACTAGATTTGTGACCCTGAGCAAGTCTTTTGACTTGTGTTTACCTCAGTTTCCTCATCTGTAAAATTAGGATAATAATAGCACCTACCTCTCAGGGTTTTTGTGAGGATCAGATGAGATAATGTATACCTAGCATAGTACCCAGCACATAGTAAGTGCTATATAAATATTGTCGTCATCATCTTTCCTGGAAACAGATGGGGTTATTTGGAATAATAATGATGATGATGATGATGATAGCTAGCATTTATAAAGTGTTTTAAGCTTTGCAAAGCACTTTACAAATCTCTCACTTGCTCCTCCCAACAACCCTGTAAGGTAGATGCTATCATTAACTCTTAAGTCATAGATAAAGCTGAGGTGGAGAGAGGAGTAGTGCCACATAGCTAAGTAAGTATCTGAGGCAGGATTCAAACTCAAGTCTTCCTTACTCCAAGAGTGGCCCTATTCACTGCACCATCTGGCTACCCAAGAAGGAATATTACAAGGGAAGAGAGTTTGAACCCTACAGCAGTTGTGAAGATGAAAAGGCCCAAGGAAAGGGAAATCAGGGATGCTGTTTGGTCTGGGGAGTTCACCAGTTAGAGACTTGGTGCCATTAAAATGAGATATATCCAACCTGGCCTAGTGGAAAGAGTAGTACTGTGCCACAGAGGTAGGGGATCAGAGTTCTAGCTCTTTCTGCACCTCTCACCAATTGTGTGACATTGGGCAAGTCACTTAACCTCAAAAGGCTGAAATGACCTGGGGCAGATGAGGATACCAACTTAGCTGCCTGAAGACAGAGGGCTGGACCAATGGTATCTGGAATTTGTTACCACCTCTGAGGTCTTGGGGGTCCTTGTGTTTCAGTAGAAAGATTTTACTGGAGTCAGAGGACCTGAGTTCCAATCCTCTGTCAGTTCCTGTGTGTCTGTACCTTGGGCAAATCATTTAGCATTTCTGGGCTTAGGGAGTTTTACTAGAAAACCTTTCAACTCTGAATCTATGATCCTCAGATCTAAAATTCTGTGACCTCTGACCCAAGGTTGGATTTGGAGTTAGAGAACCCTAGCTCTACCACATACTACCCAAGTCACTTAACCTCTGTTTGCCTCAGTTTCCTCTTCTGTAAAATGTGCGTGATAATAGCACCTACCTCTCAGGGTTGTTGTGAGGATCAAATGAGATAATATTTGTAAAGTGCTTAGCATGGTGCCTGGTACCTAGTAGACACTAGATAAATGTTAGCTTATTATTATGTCTCCACGTGAAGAATGCTCAAGGCATTAAAATCATAAAAGCAGTGTTGTGTTACTAGGCCATCATTCAGCCAAGGAAGAGATGAAACTCCAGGGAAAGTGCCTTTTACAGGAGCTGGGTCTGAGCTCAGGTTTCCTTTACCAGAAACTCCATAATGCCTCGAGCATGAAGCCTGGGCCCATGAAGATGGACTTGCTGGTGCTAGAGGATGAGAAGAACCATGGGGCCCAGAAACTGGCGCTACAAAAGGTCAAGGTAAGAGCCAAGAGAAGAACCAAATTCTACTCTGGGAGCTTAGGCCTGGGAAGTAGAAATATGGTCCTGGAGACTGCTCCCTGTCCCTAGGGCGTCGCCGGTCCTTGACCCCTTGCTTTGTTCCCAGAGATGGCAAGGGCCTCCTTTCAGCTAATTCAGAGCTTCTTTGTCCCTGTGGCATACTGAAGACCCATTTGCTTTTTCTAAACCTAAAAGAGATGTGGGGAGACATGGAAATTCATTCCCTTTTGAGGGAGTTTGGTGTGGTGGAAAGATCACTGAATTTAGAGTGAGGGGACCTGAGATTTATTGGCTGTGCCTCTTAGTACTTTTGTGACCTTGGGCAAGCCACTCCGTCTTTTATTCTGGGCCTGAGTTTTCTCATCTGTAAAATGAGTGGGTTGGACTAGATTGGCCTCTAAGATTCCTGCCAGCTCTAAATCTGGGATTCTGTACGAAAAGGGGAGAAGGAATTAACTCTTCAAGGCTACTGACTGTCCCTCGGCTTCCCTAAACTCGAGGCCTTAGACTTAAATGTTGTCCCCTGACTAAAAGATGGGGTGGAAAGGATAAGTAAGGGGGAGGAGCGAAACAGCTTGAAGCTCACGGTCTTCTCCAAAGAAGCAGGCAGAGGGAAACCTGCCTCTATCTTGCTTCTCATGGCGCTTAGTGCACAAGGTCTCTGCTCTGAACAGGGCCAGGAGAGGGTGAGAAAGACATCACTGGATCTTCGCCGAGAGATCATCGATGTGGGTGGGATCCAGAACCTCATTGAGCTTCGAAAGAAACGGAAGCAAAAGAAGAGAGAGGCATTAACCCTGGCCCCAGAGCCTCCACCTGAACCCCAGGAAATCGTAAGAGAATCTGGAGGTCTTGGGGAGGAGAGGCACAGTGAGGGCAGGGAAATGTGGAAAGGAAATACACGATTCGTGGTGTGGGGAGGGACCAAGGGGAGAGGAGCATGCTAGCATTTCAACTCTGAGGGCTGGGGAAAGAATGGCTCTTTCTAGTCTAACCCAGATTTCAATTTCGGAATGTTTTCACAAGACCCTCCCCACTGGGGGAGAGGACAGCTCAAAGATGCCTGGCTGCCTGAGGGGCAGAATTGATATCAGGAGCTTTGAGGAGAAGAGATAGCCTCCATTCCTGCTTTAAGAGAGAGCACACGAAGTTCTAGACCTTCATGAGTCATAATTCTTTCTACCAATGAGAAGAGCCTTATGCGAATGTTTCGGGCTTGAAATCTAGGTTATACTACTAGCTTGGGGAGGACAGCAGAGATACACTTCTGCTGATGGGTGAGGTGGATGCTGTGGTGACTGGGGTCTTTATCTCAGACTGGACCCGTGGAAGAGGAGACGTTCCTGAAAGCTGCTGTGGAGGGGAAAATGAATATCATTGAGAAATTCCTGGCAGATGGGGGTTCTGCTAATACCTGTGATGAGGTAATGGCTCTTCAAATCCCATCTTAAAAGCAGAAAAAGCACCATTAGCCCCTATTTCTTCAAGGTCAGGGTTCTGTTTCTGACAGATGTATCATGGGAGAAATCTATTTTTTTGAAGGAAAACATGATTCTCGTTGAGTCATAGAACTTCAGAGTTGGAAGGGATTGTAAAATGTTTAGGAGTATGTCCCAATATGATACCGTCACCATTTGTAAGTCCTTTTTGAAACTCTTGGGGAACATTTGTTCCATAAATTGAATTTATAGGGAATAATTTTTATTCAGTAGAGTGCCAAGTCAAAAAGACCTGGATTCAAATCCAGCTTCAGACACTTCCTAGCTGTGTGACCCTGGGCAAGTCACTTAACCTTGTTTGCCTCAGTTTCCTCATCTATAAAATGAGCCAGAGAAGGAAATGACAAACCACTCCTGTATCTTTGCCAGGAAAACCCCAAATGGGGTCACAGAGAGTCAGAAATGACTGAAACAACTGAACAAAAACAAATAATAAAAAGAGACTGTGTGGTGTAGTGCATAGAGTGGTGAAGACCTTGGACCCAAATTCAGGCTTCTGAAGCTTCCTACTATGTAACCAGGGACAAGCCACTTAACGTCTTCCTCGTTTTCCTCACCTGTAAAATGGGGCACTAATACCCATAATGCCTAATTCCCGGGTAGTTATCTGGCTCAGGTGAGATAATGCATGTCAAGAATTCTGCAAACCTTAAATCATTAGATAAGTGATATCTCTTAGCATTGCTACTAGGCTAGAATGAGAGGCAGTCTGGCATAGTAGCTAGCCTTGGAACCAGGAAGATGCAGGTTGAAGTTTTGCCTCTGCCACATACTGGGAAGTCACCTGACCTTTCTGTGCTTGGGGCTAGAGGTGTCAGACAGGCACCCAGCGACCCTAGAGTGCTGCCCAGCCGGATGAAAATGTAACTGGGAAATATTTAACAAAATAAATAAAAAACTATACAACACAGACAATGTGAATAGGTAGTTTTCCAAGTCAGTCTCTGGTCCTGTTTGAGTTGGACACCACTTACATATAAGTCACAGAGCTGCAACTGGTAGAGGAGGTTTCCTATGCCAATGAAATCCTGTACCCATCCCTATCTACCCCTGAATCTGCTGTTGATTAATCATGCAGCCTTGGGTGAGACACCTAGCCTCCTCTGTCTTGGTTTCTTAATCTGTATCAATTTTACATCTCCAGCCTAGCTCACTGGATCATTATGAGGAGGAAAGGCTAATTAGTAATGAAAGTGTAAATTGGTGGTGGTTTGGTTTTTTTTAACCAAACACTATAAGGGTTGTTATGATTACTTCTTGTATATTTTGAAAGTGTTTTTATTTGTCTTTAATCTATCTTTTTCAAGCCTCAAGGGAATTCTGCATTTTATAGACCAAGGTTTCATAGACAGATCAATGTTCCCCTTCACATACACAGAGCCCTGTGGTCTGGTCCAAGATCAACCTTTCCAGACTGCAGGGTCTCATTCATTTGTTTTAGTTCTGTCCTCCATGGAAACTGAAGGGCATTGGGGAGGGAGTGAGGAGGTGGGAGGAAAGGGGGAGCACTAAACTCTAGAAACCAGACCAGAGTCAGTCTATAGTGCCAATAAAATTTCACTCCTCCAGGGAGTGTTGGGGTTGACTGAAGTAAGAGGAAGACTGAGTAGGCCTTAAGGACCCAAGTGCCTTCCAGCTGATGTAAGGCCTGGCCTGTAGCTCACCCAAACAGCTAACACGGGCAGGGCTAAGAGCTGGTGCCCGGGCTCTGGGTCATGTGTAGTCTCTTTGGAGGACAGTTTCGCCGGACAGCCCTTCACCGGGCCTCCCTAGAGGGCCACATGGAAATCCTGCAGAAGCTGTTGGACAGCGGAGCCACTGTGGACTTCCAGGACCGGGTGAGTGAGAGTATTCCTGTCCTGGGCAAGGGTCACCTAACATTTTCCCTATGCTGGCTTTCATGAGTATATGGTGGAACTCATCTAGCCTAAGCCTGACCATTGATTCTGATACCATTTTAGAGAAGGAAACAGAAACGATGCACTGAGGGAGGCCCTTCTGGGGACACTGGGACTTGGCATTGACCTGACCCCACATGCAGGAAATTTCTTGCTCCTACACCCTTGACTTTCCCCCAGGGTTCTCCTACCCTTGCGACTGGCCATGTTCCAGGACTACCTTCTTTGATTGGACTTGACTCCTTTGGGGAGGAATGGGGAGCCTTGGGAGCTGCCACTTTAATTCCTCTTTCTCTTGGGGCCGCTGTCCCCACCTAGCTAGACTGCACAGCCATTCACTGGGCTTGCCGTGGAGGCCACCTGGAGGTGGTGAAACTTCTGCAGAGCCATGGGGCAGACATCAACGTGCGCGACAAGGTGAAGGGTCGCTGTTGGGCAGCTGTTGGGGGGTGGTCGGGAAGGTAAAGGCAACTGGGATGATGGGACGCTGACAGGGAAGGAAGCTCCCTAAGTGAGGGAGGGACACTGCGCCTCCCCAGCACTGAAAACACCCACCACTGCCCTTGCACCTAAGCCCAGAACCCAGAAAAGAACTAGAGAGTTTTCCAACTGGGCAAAAACAGCTTGAGGGTGGGGATGATAATCTAACCACTGGTGTGGACACACCTGAGTTTGGTTTCCATGCCCAGAGGAGCTGGGGAGGAAGAATGGTCCCAGGAGAAGACCATCACAGTGGGTCATGTAGGATCCTGGGTTGAGCAAAGAAGTAGATTTGTACCACCCAGCACAGGCCGGCAGAAGAGTCGAGGAGCAGGCTTGCTCCCCCTGCACATCAGCTCCCTGGGGCAAATCCCTAGTCACCCTGCCCTGGTTATGGCTCTGCCTGGGCTTCCCTAGCAGCAGCATCCTAGAGAGGATTGGATTGTGGGTGCAGCATTCAGCATCCTTTGGGGGCCATCCCAGTGGTACAGAATGATATATTAGAAAGTGACAGAATGTCAGTCTGTGTCATTGCCCAAACCTTGGTCATAAAACTTCTGGGTGAAGAGCAGAGAAGCTCAGTAGCCCAGCAATGTAATCCTTTAGCTAACGTGCCATCCACAGAGCCAGCAGAGGGTACAGCCAGACGTCCAGTGTCCCCTTAGCCAGTAACTCCTATTTCTTTCCCACGCAGCTCCTGAGCACTCCCCTCCACGTGGCAACCCGAACGGGGCGAATAGATATTGTGGAATACTTTCTCTCCATGGGAGTGGATATCAATTCCAGGGACAGGGTGCGTGCCCCCTAACTTCCCTGTTATCTCTCAGGGCCTGTGATCCCAGAATTTTTTAGTAGAAGAACCTTGTTCCCAGAGGTCTTCACTTTCTTTTCTCCAGTACCCTGCTTATAACTGTCCATACCTGGGGACTTAGTGCTGTGACTTGGGTTGTGCCACACGAGGCTTAGGCTTGACCCTCACTCCCCTCTTGTGAGCTGTTTTCTCCCCACCCCCACACCCCAATTGCCTTCATGATGGACCCTGAGCCTCGCACTTGCTATAGGAAGGAGACAGCGCCCTTCATGATGCTGTACGCCTTAACCGCTACAAGATTATCAAGATGCTGCTTCTATACGGGGCTGACATGATGGCCAAGAACATGGTGAGCATCCATGGGGGCTTGTATACTCAACCACTTATTACAAGAAGAGTGTCCACCTTTCTAGGATCAACTCCCAAAAGCCCATTTTCCCTTAGCCTTCCAGAAGCTCTGTGGGTCACTGTGCAGGGTCCCGTCCCCATCCCCCAAGGATGGGGATTTCCTCCTACAGGAAAGCCAGAAGGAGAACTTCGTAGAAGATCTGGGATGGGGCAGGTGAAACCTTTGCAATACTTCAGCAGGAACAGGGCTCCAAGCCGAAGACCTCCAAGAGATAAGTGAATGAAAAGGCCCCACTAGGCCTTGGGAGGCCTGGGGAAGCAGAGAGATTTAGCATCATACTGTCCTAGAACTAAGGTTGGAAGGGACCCCAGAGGCCTTCTGGTCCAGCCCCCTCATTTTACAGACTAGGAAACAGAAGCTGCTGAGGAAGGTTACATAGCTTGCCCAAGCATCAGAGACAAGATTTATATCCAAATTTCATTCAGTTCTTTACCCTGTGCCAAACAGCCTCCCACCAGAGGGGAGGAATGACTGGAGGAGGTACACCTCTGGTACCAGGCATCTGAGTAAGTCTTCTCTCTCTGTTCCCTTCAGGCTGGGAAGACCCCCACAGATCTTGTACAGCTCTGGCAAGCTGATACCCGCCATGCCCTGGAGAACCCAGAGCCGGAGCCCTCCCAGGACCAGAATGGTCTGGAAGGGTCTGGTGAGAGCAGGGCTGAGACCCCACAGCCTGTGGCCTCTCAATAAAATCTCACTCACCACCTGAAGCCTGGCCTGAGGGAAGGTGGCCATGGAGACTCTGTCTAGAATGTCACTTTGCTTTCTTTCCTATGTGGATGACTTGTCTGGCTTCTGACAGATGTGTGAAACCAGGCTAGGCTTTGTACATAGGTAAGCCGTGCAGACAAAGCCCTGTACTCAAGCAGCTTAGAATAGAGGAGGAAATACACAGGGCAGCTATAAAGTGAGCATTTGCATTCCCCCCCACCCACCCACCACCCCAAAAACCAGAGGATAAAGGAATTTACTCACAATAAAAAAAATTTGGTTTTTGCTATCTGGAGTAATGTTTTTTATTTTCCTTCAGCAGAAAGAAAAACATTAAGGAGAGAATGAGGGAGTAGAAAAAGAGGCTGTAGGGAGGAAGAGAAAGGGGAAAATAAATAGGGTGACTGGCCCTCCATCAAACCTTCTCTGCAGCAGCTGACAGTGTTGACCATCTTCTTCTCCTGTATGCTCTCTCCTCTCAGGATTTTCTTGAATACTGCTTTCTCTTAAAAATTTTTTTTAATTTTGTTTCATTAAATATTTCCCATTTACATGTAAAAAAATTAACAATTTTTAAAATTTTTGAGTTCCAAATTCTCTCCCTCCCACCCATCCCTTGAGCAATATGGTGTTAATTATACATGGGAAGTCATGTAAAACATAATTCCTTATTAGCCATGCTGCAAAAGAAAACCCACACAAAAACTAAGGAAGGCTTTACAAGGGCACTTGAATCTGTACTCAGAGTTATCAGTTGTGTCTCTGTAGGTAGATAGCAATTTTCAGCACAGGTCCTTTGGAATTGTCTTGGGTCATTGTCTTGATCAGAGTAGCTAAGTCACCTTTGAGCATCCTTCCAGTTTTGCTGTTACTGTGTCAAGTGTTCCCCTAGTTCTGCTACTTTCTCTTAATTCTCCTCCTGACTCACTGCTTCTTCTCAGTTTCTTCTTTGCTGAGGGGGAAAGGGTGATGGTGGTGGTGATGGTGGTGGTGGTGATGGTGGTGGTGATGGTGGTGGTGATGGTGGTGGTGGTGGTGGTGGTGGTGGTGGTGATGGTGGTGGTGATGGTGGTGGCAGAAAAGATCTACTATGTGCCAGGCATGGTGCTAAGCACTTTAGCAATATTATCCCATCTGCTGGATCAGCATCCATTGTCATTGCCTGTCTCCTAGTGTGCCCCAAGGTACTGTCTAGGCCCTCCTCTATTTTCTCTACACTCTGGATTGCTGATCTCAGTTGTTCCCATGGATATAATTACCCTCTAACCCAATGCCTCCTCAATCTATATATCCAGGCCTAGTCTCTTTCCTAAGTGCCGGTTTCCCATCAGCATCTGCCTCTTGGACATGTCCTATAGGCATGTATCTCAAAGTCAACATGTTCAAAACAAGTCTGTCTTTCTCCTCAAACCCATCACTCTTCTGGAGTCTGCTTGCCATTTCTGACCTTCTGCCATGCCGAGGTCATCCTTGCACGCTCTGAGCCTTGTTGTATCTACCTCATAGCATTTCTCTCGAATGAACATGATCACTTCTCCTCATTCACACAGCCACCCCCTTGTTCAGGCTCTCTTCTCCCCTTCTCTGGACCTTTGCAGTAGCCTCCTCATTGGCCTCCCTGCCTTAGGTCCATACCTGACCTTTCACTACCCTCCCCTTCATCTCAGTGCCTTTGCACTGACTGCCCTGTACCTTGGGATCCCTGGTTTCCTTCAGGACTCAGTTCAAGTATGGCCTTCTATGCAAAACCTTCCTTGTTCAGTCGTTTTTCAGTCTTCATGACCCCATTTGGGGTTTTCTTGGCAAAGCTACTGGACTGGTTTACCATTTCCTTCTCCGGTTCATTTTTACAAATGAAGAACTGAGGCAAACAGGGTTAAGTGACTTGCCGAGGGTCACACAGCTAGTAATTGTCTGAAGCCAAATTTGAACTCAAGAAGATGAGTTCATGCCAGGCACTTTATCTGCTGCACCATCTACTGCTTGAGACCTTCCTTGGTCCCCATCAGACACCTCCCAAGGTTCTTATTTCTGTTTTATGTGTGTGCACACGTGCGTATATGCATATGTGTATACATACATGCATGTATATATAAACACGTCTTCCCTGTTAGAATGTAAGCTCCATGAGGACAAGGACTTTCTCTTTTTTCTCCCCTATGCCTAGCAGTGTGCCTGGCACAAATAGGTGTTTAATAAATGCTTAATAAAGAAAAATAAATGTTAATTCCCCTCCAGATCTTACATCTGACTGCCACTTTCCAGCTTTATCTAAATCCTGCGATTTAGGGGCTAATGCTATGATCAGGATGCCCACTCCTTGCCTCCCTTATCCTGTTCACCTTAGTTCCCCTCTTCCACTCTGTTCCTTTAGCATCTGCCTAGCTCTCAGTCCCCCTTCACTCTGCCTCTCGCCCTGTAGCGTCCTCTGGGTCCTCTTTGCCCCCTGCCCCGTTTCAGGCTGAGTCCCTGCGTGTGACTGCATCAAACCCCTTCCCCATTCCCCACCTGCTTTTCCCCTCTTCTGTTTACAGCTCTTCTCCCAAGTCATCTCTCCCTGCCTTGTGAGTAGTCTCAGCATTTAAAATGTAATTATCATGTTCTGGGGCCCCTTTCCACATACCCAACAAAACCTGAAGTGAGGGGAAGAGGCAGAAAGGTTATTCCATCCTGGGCACTCACTGTGTCTTGACCTGGCATCTATAGATTTTTATGCATGCCTTTGAGTTAATCAGCGCACTCATCCTCATGTTTCTTAATGTAGGTAGGGAGTAGAAGCTGCTGGATGTTTTATTGTGCCTGTATGCCAGCTACGCTTTCTCAAAAAAAAATAAAAAATAATTAAAAAAAAGAAAAAAAAATACACATTCTCTCTGTCCTTCTGTAACTGCAGGAAGCAGAGTCCACACACCAAGAACCTGTGTGCCCTGGGCTCGTCCTGTTACCGGACAGCTCCCACAAAACCTGCTTCACAAAGACACTTTGGGGCTGGAAGGGAGGGAGACACCCCTGGAGAGATGTCCAAGGGGCAGCCCTTCGTGGCCGTGGAAAACCAGAAAACTCAATGGAAGTTGGAGGGAGGAGGACCAGAGAAGACAGCTCTCAGCCAATCAATGACCCCGGAGCAGCCCTGGTGCCCTCCTCCTCCCCTGGGCCAGAGCTCTGCAAACCCCTCCCACTTAGGGCTACCATTCCTTCCCTCTGGAAAGGGAGCCAGAGGGCAAGCTCAACCTAATCAGGGGGATTGTGCGCCTTGAAGGCAGACTGGACCCCCAGCTTTGCCAAGTGACAAGGGAAACTTGTCTGTGGCTCTTCCAGACAGCTGCCGAGAAACAGGGCGGCAGTGAGGCGTGGAAAGACACCTGCATTCAGAGAGGATGGGAGCCTGGGTTTGAATCAGCCTTGCCGCTCAATTGCTGTGTTACTGAGAGTCCTGTTTCCTGCCCCGTAAAATGAGAGTTGGGTTAAGTGGTCTCTAAGCTGACTGCCAGCTTTCTGTCTTATGATCACCTCTCTCCCTCCTTAGCCCAAGCGTCCCTCCTGTCTGTGGACCCTGGAGTCAGGGGAGCAGCAGCAAATTTTTAACTAAACTATTGATTATTAACAGGAGGAGAAGGCTCAGGTTCAACTCTAGGGCACGGCCACAGAGCAGCCAAGTCAAACTTCCTAAGGATATGCTGGTACCTCAAGTCTGGTCCTCTGCGAGGCTGGGGGCAAAAGGGCTAGGCAGATGCCTGGTGCGGAGTCTGACGGGGTGGGCCTCCGGAGAGGGGAGGAAGGTGGACATTGGGGGCATCTACCCTCCAGTGACCACCCCATTCACGGCCACAGCGGAGGTGGACTATGGGAAGCTGGAAGAGAATATATACAAACTTGGCACCATCCCCTTCAGAGGTAAGGTGGATCCTGGAAGTGGGCGAGGGAGGCAGGACAGAGCAGTGAAAAGGACAGAGACCAGGAGTCGGGGGGCCTTGGGTCTAATCCCAAGCTTCATTACTTAGCAGCAAGTCACTTGCCTTTCTCAAGGCTTCAATTTCCTCATCCATGAAATGGGCAGGTTATATTAGATGATTCCTCATGTCCCTTCCAGATCAAAGATCTGTGCTTCAATGGTTGGTGGGGCGCAGGGGTGATCATTAGGCTGAATACCACTGGTCAGCATCTATTCAGCCCAGAGCCCACAAACTCCTCCCTGAGGGAAGGTGGGTAAGGCTCTCCAGAGATGGAGAGGAGTTGCCATTTTCCTTTGCATGAGAAAAAGGGAGCCTTCCCCTCAAGACGGTGACCTCCAAGTGCCTGACAGCCCCCTTTCTGGAACTCTTGTGAAGATGCATCGCATCTGTCTTGCCTCTGCAGTCTCTACTTCCATCCATCACTCCTCCAGGTTCTTACTCTCCTTCCCTATTACTTTATGAGCCCCTCAAGGGCAGGGACCGTCTTTTACCTTTCTTTGTATCCCCAGTCCTTAGTACGGCACCTGGCACAACAGCGGGCACTTAATAAATGCCGAATGACTGACTGACTCCCGAAATTGACTACTTTGGCCCCCTCGTTTACTTGCTATTGACTGGCTTTCCTTTCCTCTCATCTTTACTGACCGATATTTAGAAAGGGCCCCAAGTTTGGTAGACAGTAGTAGTAGTTTATCATCATCACTACTACTAGTATGAACCCAGCAGTGCTTTACCTTGTGGCTTTTATAACCCCCAACCACCCTCTTGGGAGATTTCTCTTGCTCTTGCTCAGATCCTTAGTGCCCTGGATGCCCTGGGGGTAGATAGTAGTACCCTGCAGAATTTTCCTTTCAATGCAGTTCTTAGTATGATACTGTGGCCACTTGGTAAAGGAAGAGGTCCATCTAAGGCAAGGGGTCTTAACCTTTTTTGTGTCATGGACCGAATTAGGCAATGAAACCTATGGGCTCCCCTTCTTAGAATGCACAAAATAAAATATATAGGTCTACACAGGAAACTAATTACATTGAAATGCAGTTATCAAAATATATGTATTTTTGGAAAGCCCCTGTCCTCAGGGACCTCTAAGCTAGACAGGGACCCAGCGAGTTTGGTTAATACCAGCCATGGGCATGCAGTGTACCTGACAGATGCCCCACCTATTTCATGGCCATTGGTTATTGGTGGAAGCATTGGGCCAGTGATTGAGATCTAATGCTTTCCCACGTGGGCTCCATCCTTGCCCCAGCTGTAGAATTTTTATTTTATTTACTTTTTTTTTTCTTTTTTGGTGAGGCAATTGGGGTTAAGTGACTTGCCCAGAGTCACACAGCTAGTGAGTGTTAGTGTCTGAGACTGAATTTGAACTCAGGTCCTTTTGACTCCAGGGCCGGTGCTCTATCCATTGTACCACCTAGCTGCTCCTATGGGATAATTTCTAAGAGGACAGAGGAGGGGGCAGGGTAGGAAATGAAACATGCCTCCCATTGCCTAGTTCCATAAAGTGGTCCCAACACACCCAAGCCCAAAGGTTCCTAACAAATAACATGATGGCTCACCTCATGAGACCTAGCCAGCCTTTTAGAATTGGCAGACTGTTAACATCCCCTTTAAAAAAAAAAAAAAGCAAGCTATATAACTTAGGGAGCCTGTAGGGTCTCTTGGAAGTGGGTTTTGTAGAAGTGGGAGCTGCCCAGTAAGAGGTTGAGTCCAGTGCTGATTTAAGGGCACACAGGTCTTGGTGTGGACTTTGCTTCCAGCGGTTACAGAAGGACAGACAGAATGTGTAGCTGGCATACAGGCACCCCCTTCTTCTAGAAGCTTCTACTCCCCACCTACATTAAGAAACATGAGGATAAGTGCACTGATTAACTCAAAGGCATGCATAAAAATCTACAGATGCCTGGTCAAGATACAGTGAGTGCCCAGGATGGAATAACCTTTCAGCCTCTTCCTTTCACTTCAGGTTTTGTTGGGTACGTGGAAAGGGGCCCCGGAACATGATAATTACATTTTAAATGCTAAGACTAGACTAGCTGAAGGGTCTTTCCTAAAACTTAGACTCAGTCCCAGCAAGTTAAATTCAACACCCAACTCACCAGGTCTAGTGCCCATATTAAAACTACGTCCTACCCTAAAGCATTATACATTGGTATCAATCCATATCTCTTGGTGTGGGACAAGCACACCAACCTTCCTTAAGTTCTGCAGGTTCTGTGAGCTGTGGTTTTCCTATTTTCCCATCTAGGCACCAACTCAGATAAATTGTAAGCCCGGGGAGGGCTCATGGGTAAATATGGAGGGTTTCATGCATCAGGTGGGAGGGAGGGTTCCCCCTCTTACAGAAGCTTCCTCCCTAGCCTATGAAGATTCCCCCTGGAACTAGAAAAGCAGCTAAGCTAAGAGCAGATTATTAAGAAAGGAGTTGAACAGAAGACAGCATCTGTGGATGCAGGTGGCCTGGGATGAGGGCAGAAGGGAGTTGACAGGAGAGACCTTCCCAGGAGCCCTTGGAGCAGGAACATTCCAGGAACACCTGCCTCAAGGCTGTATTTAGCCTCTGAGCCTCAAGTAGTGGAGGTGAAAAGGTTTCCCTTCTAATAGGTCAGACTCCAGCTGGTCTGTCTTTCTCTCCCCGCGTGGGGAGCTGCAGCCACAGGGGACCTTAGGAGACACAATCAGAGACCTCAGAAGAGGTAGCATTTGAGCTAGGGCTCCCACAGGTCAGGGCTTTGTCCGTCATCATCTTCCAACCTGGCTTCTCCGATGGATTTTTAACCAGCTGCCTGTATTGGGGGTGGGGTGGGTGGGAAAGGCTACTGTTTATGTCTTCTTTAAAACTTTTTTGGTTCAAACATGCATTCAAATGTTCAGAGGGGGAAAAAAGAGCTTGACCCTTTTTTTTCCCATTATCACCATATTTATTCAACATTGTATTAAAAATGCTAGCTACAGCAATAAGACAAGAAAAAGAAATCGAAGGAACAAAAATAAGCAACAAAGTAGCAGAACTCTCACGTTTGCAGATGACGTGATGACACAGGAGAGAAGAATTCCAAGAGAATCAGCAGCAATTACAAAACCAAGTTCAAGGATGGGGAAGTTGGGTCTCGAGGCCACATGGGGCCCGCCCGAGCCCTCAAGTGCGGCCCCCCAACTGAATCCAAACTTAACACAACTCACCTTAATAAAAGGGTTTGTTCCATAAAACCTGGACTCAGTCAAAAGGCCTCGCCCGAGGACCCAGAAGGCCACATGTGGTCTCGAGGCTGCAGGTTCCCCACCTCTGACTTAGTTGAAACAAAGATCAAATCCGGCAAAACCGCAGGAAACAAAAATTGTTGTTGTTCAATTATGTCTTACTTTTTGTGACCCCATTTGGGGTTTTCTTGGCAGAGATACTGGAATGGTTTGCCATTTCCTTCTCCAGCTCATTTTACAGATGAGAAAACTGAGGCAAAAAGGATTAAGTGACTTGCCCAGAGTTACATGAGCTTGACCCTTTTAAGGAAGAAGTTTTTTGTATTAAATAAGTTGCAATATGCACCAGTGGAAAGAGCTCCGACTTTAGAGTCTCAGGTCCTGGGTTCATGTCCTGCCCCTTCCCCTTAGTCAGTAAACAACTACCAAGTATTAGAATATTTACTAATGGCCTGGGAGCTGTGCTATAAGAGCGGGTGGCAGAGGGGTGGGGGCAGTGAACATAGAAAGGCACAAAGACCATCCTTGCTCTTAAGGAGCTCACAGTCCATTGTGGAAGACAACATGCAAACTTATGTACAAACAAGCTATATACAGGAAAAATGGGAGCTAATCAACAGGGGTAAGGCAGTAGTTTGAAGGGGGACCAGGAAAGGTTTGTTTGTTTTTGGGGGGCAATCAGGGTTAAGTGACTTGCCCAGGGTCACACAGTAAGTGTCTGAAGCCTGACTCTTTAGGGCCAGTGTTTTATCCCCTTAGCTGCCTCCAGGAAAGGATTCTTAAAGGAGATAAGGTTTTACCAGGGAACCCAAGAGGTACAGATGAGGAGGAAAACCATTACAAGCACGGAGAACAGCTAGTAAAAAAGGCCATAGCGGGAGACAGAGTGACTTCAGACGATCTTCCAGGGCCTCAATTCCCTCCTTAAATTAGGCCTTTTGTGTCCTTCTCAATCCGTAAGTGTGGCCTTTTGATTGAATGCAAATTTTACGGAACTCTATAAAATGTGGGGGGATGGACTTCGGTAGTTGTTGGCTTTTGGAGTCCCTTGGAGTTCTAGATATAAAATCCTATGATACTGAGGAATAAAATATACTGATTTTACACATACAGAACTTTAATGGGATCATAGATTGGGTGCTGGAAGGAGTCATCTGATCCAACCCCCTCATTTTACAGATAAGGAAACTCAGACCCAGAATGGTGAAGACGTTTGTTAATGTTTTATCATTAAAGACAGAATAGGGGATTTGAACCCAGGTCTCTGACTTCCAATCCAGCAAGCTTTCCATACTCCATGATCTTCTCAGGGCAGGAAGGGTTAGCACTCTTAAGTTAGATGGTTAGCTTCCCAGCAATCTCTATTGATGAAAAGAGAGCATCATTAGTCTTTATGAAACAGGAGACATCACAAGCCTGATCTTTTTGACGTTGCAAAGCAAAAGTTCTAGGAACCCATTCTCTCTATAGGCTGAAAGAGGCTGGTTAGAGAATGCAAAACATTGCCCCTCTTACAAGGATACTGGGCCATCCAAAGACTCTGGAGAGCTGGCAGCATACGGAAAGTCACGTGGTGGTTTTTTAGTAGGTAGGAGCTGGGCATAAAGCCTAGCACTTTTCAACTTCTAAAGCAGGTGAAAGGAAGCTAGAGATTCTCCTTCAAACAGAATAGGAAAAGCCAGTGTTAGGTTAAGTAATCAAAAACAGTTGAATTTAGGAAGGCCTGTAATTTGTACCCAAATGTTTGCATTTCTTTATACCTTGCTGTAAATTGTCTAGAGTTCAAAACCTGTTGCAGATACCTTACTAGACAATATGATCCTGGGTAAGTTAATCAACCTCTGCCTCAGTTTCCTCATTTATACAATAGGGATATTAATAGCACTTCTCTCCCAGGGTTTGTTGTGAGGATAAAATGAGATATTTGTAAAGTGCTCTGCAAACCTTAGAAACCTCTATATAAATGCTAACCATTATTATTATGGAGGCAGCTGGTAGAGCAGTGGCTAAAACATTTGGTCTGGAAGCAGGAAGACTTGAGTTCAAATCCAAGCCTCAGGCACCTATTAATTGCTATGTCAACCATGGCACAGTCACAAATTCTGATTGCCTCAGTTTGCTCATCTGTAAAATGGGGATAATAATGGCACTTTCCATTCCAGGGTTGTTGTGCAGATCAAATGAAATGTATTTGTAAAAAGCACTTAGTACAGTGCCTGGCACATAGTTGGCACTATAAAAATACTTATTCCCATCGCCTCTTTGTTGAATAATTCATCTTTTTGAAAAAAATTTCAAGGGACAGCTAGGTGGCACAGCATCAACCCTAGAGTCAGGAAGACGCGAGTTCAAATCCCTCGTCAGACACTTGACACTTAGTAGCTGTGCGACCCTGGGCAAGTCATTTAACTCTAATTGCCTCAAAGAAAAAAAAAACAAAACACCAAAAAACTTCACTATTCCTTCCACCAGCTTCATCTATATTTTCTTATCCTGTCTAATGCCTTTCTATTTCTTTCTGCAAATCCTTCATAAAGGATTTATGTAACATGCTGGAGACCTTCCTTTGGGTCTTTTAATATATCGTAGGTGCAAATGCAGCTCCTACTCACACTGCTCATCTGTTTGGTGTCTCTCACTTTGGCAACAAGAGTGTCTGACCTGTTTTCTAGACAGATCTGCCCGTGATGTTTTTTACATCTTTCCTTGAGTACAGGTCATCCCTGGTGACCCATGACACAGATTTTAAAAGTTAATATTAATACTTTTTGAAATAAGGTTATATTTCCACAGAAAGGTGGTATTGGCAGTCATTATCCAAGGCACCATTGCTTACCTGGTGGAAATTCCCAGTGTTTGAGAGGAAATAAAGCATCCGAATAGCTACTGGTCCAAATCCAAGCCTTTAAAATAAGGAATATGTCAACAATTGATAGCCATTTTACACACACACACACACACACACACACACACGTACATGCACACATTCTCTCTTTCTCAGGATTCAAAACCAAGTAGATTTCTTTTTTCCCCCATTTTTTTTCTTTGTAAATTCTGAACATCAGATAAAATGAGCATTTCCATATGGATTGTGAAACAGGAGAATATTATACAAGAAACTGCAGGCCTCTATTACATAGAACTTATTCTTCTTTTTTAAATAAATAATAAATGCAACCTGTAACTTTCAAAGCTTCCTCGCTTGTATGTGATTCCTTCTAGCCTTCTTTCTTCTAACTTTGAGTGGAAAGGGAACTCTATCACTAACCCCAGTATTCGTTAATTTGTTTTTTTTTTGTTTTGTTTTGTTTTGTTTTTTTAGTGAGGCAATTGGGGTTAAGTGACCTGCCCAGAGTCACACAGCTAGGAAGTATTATGTGTCTGAGGTTGGATTTGAACTCAGGTCCTCCTGACTCCAGTGTCGTTGCTCTACCCACTGCGCCACCTAGCGACCCCTAACACCACTTTTTTCCTCTCATCTCTCCACTCTCCAGGTGAGGGGGAAAAAAAAAACCTTGTAACAAATATATTTAGTCAAGAAAAACAAATTCTCACATCATCCATGTCCAAAAATGTATGTGTCATTCTTTCGTCTTGAGTCCATCACCTCTTTGTCGAGGAGTGAGATGCTTCAGCATGGGTCCTCTAGAATCAAGATCATCCAGGTGGCTTTCCAATGCTACCCCCGTGCTAAGCTAATCACTGATTGCACTTCCCCCAACTGTGACCTAACACCATTCCAGAATGTTCTTCTTGTCCTCCCCTCCTTCCTTTCTTGTTCTCAGGACCACATTCTCTTCTGTGGCCAAGGAGGCAAAGGATGGAGGCAATACTTAGTGAGCTAGTAGCAGAAGGTTGAAGATAAAGGGAGAGAGTGGTTCAGGCTCTGGCTATGGGGCAGCCTCAGCTAATAAGTTAGTTTCTAATAATAATTAGGGCAGCAAGGTGATGCAGTGGATAGATCACTGAGCTTGGAATCAGGAAGACTTATCTTCCTGAGTTCAAATCTGGCCTCAGATACTTACTAGCTGTATGACCCTGAGCAAGTCACTTAACTATTTGCCTCAGTTTCTCATCTGTGAGATGAGCTACAGAAGGAAATGACAAACTACTCCAGTATCTTTGCCAAGAAAACCCCAAATGGGGTCATGAAGAGTCAGACGCAACTGAAACAACTCAATAACAATGACAACAATTAATAACAATAATAATAATAATAAGTAGCCTCTGTCTTGGGGAGGGTGAACAACCAAACTGTAGAATGAGTCATGTGCAGAAGTAGGGGTGGGGAAGGAAGATGACTGCCTTACTGGCTTCCAGTGAACTTGGGGAAAGAAGTCTGGCTAGGGCAACAGACCCCAGCTCCCTCTGTTGGATGTTCAAGCATTGCCAGGCCTCCCCCAAGCATTGCTGGGGCCCACCTGCCCACCCCTCCCAGCTGTCTCCCTCACAATGAGGTTCATTGCTGAGGCGGGGGAGGGGTCTTCCCCAGGTAGTGGAGGAGCAGGGATCTGCCCTGCAGACACCCTCTGGGGTGCCTTTCAGCATGAACCAGGTTGCCTGGGCTCCCCATTCCCTCTTATCTCTTATCTCCCCGTGCTCTCTTATCTCAGCCTGATTGGCTCAGGGTCCTGGAGAGCCTGGGAGTGCTTACCCAGCAACCATCATGCAAGGTGGTGCTGGCAATCAGCCTGCTGCTGGGGGCTGGAGGCCTCTACCTCTGGTTCCAGTGGAAAAAGAAGTCCATCAAGAGCCGAAAGGATTGTAGTAAAGAATCCGTAGAGTCCACTGTCATAGAGAGTAAGAGTGATCCCTGGATCAAATCCCACTTCAGCCGCCTTTCAGATGAAAAGTTATGTGCCCTGATGCAAGAAGGTGGAAGTGGGGAGGTCATTTCTGCCAGTACCAATGTGCAAGTGGAAACCTGTACCTCAAGGCTTAAAGAAGGGAGAAATGTTGATATCCACAAGGAATCTTATATCAGCAGGCAGAGGACATCAGGAAGCAAAGTGTTCAAGGAGTCCCACAGAGACTCTGCCAAGTCGAGCTCAGCGGACGAGTCAACATGGGCATCAACGGCTGCGTGTGTGCGGGAAATCGACATCACGGGTAGGCACCTGGCGGATTCCATGCTTCAGCGGGCCATGGACTGCCAGAACCCTGGTCATTGGGAAACCAAAGACGTTAATAAGGAGGAACTCAAGGCCCTGGAGGAAGTAGAGATGAAAGTCATAGGGAATTTCCTCAACCATCGGGAAAACAATGTAGCCGGCTCAAGCAGTGGCTACCGCTGCCATGGCCATCACATACCCCATGCTTACTTTGAAGTTACCTAATCAGGCTGGCATCGTCTCATTCTCCCAACTGGGACAACACAGTTGCATCACTTAAGGATTCTCCCACCACCTCCCCTATCCTGCCTCTGGTCTGAGGAGAGGTAGTTTTCCATGCTGATCAAAGGGATTTCTGCTGATGTGTCTCCAGCCCCATCAACCTCAGCTGGGTCAGCGAAATATTTGGACTTTATACAGTGCATACAGGATGCCAGAGGTGAAAAATTTGCACAGGGAACCACGGTGACCTGCCGAAGAAGAGACAAAAAAGAGGGGAAAGTTGTGCCTTCAGAACAGACTTTGCCTCTCCTAGATGGCCAGTGATAAAGAAATTCACAGAAAGAAAGTCAGTCCATTGACTCCTCAGGGAAGGTACCAGGAGCATCCTTCAGGATGACTGAGGGAAGTGCTCAGTGCCCCAAGACCTGCATCCCTCCCCCCTAAAAAACAGCATGGGATTTAACTGAAGAAAAATGCCTGCAAATGAGCCAATAAAACCTTGCAATACTGTGGCTCGGTGTCTGAGGACTTCTGTGGAAGCTGGGAGTTAGCTGGAGAATGTAACTGATGTTGTTGGATCCCTCAATCAGTTGAGATCTGGGTGGGGAGTTTTGTTCCTTTTCCAGAAGCTCCATGTCTAGATCATGGGAGCTATGATGCTATTTTGTGGACCCAACTTATGCCCCAGGGCACAGGCTCCTGCAAAGAAGAGGAAGTTGCTAGGTGTTGACTTTGTAGGGTAGATAGCAGAAGCCCTCTGGGAGAGTGTGAGCCTTGAAATGACCAGATAGACTTTCTATTCCTATCTCCTGTACTTCATCTTGTGGTGCCCTGCCATCCCACTCTGATGCCTTTTTATCCTTTCTCATTGAATGAATGAAAGCCTTTATTTTAGCAGCACCTACTGGGTGCCAGATGCTTATATTGAACACTGGGGCTACAAATACAAACAAGAAAGATAATTGCTGCCCTCAAGGAGCTGCTATTCTAGTAGGGGAAGACAGCACATAGAGGGGAGTGGTGGCCAGGCAGGAGTGTTTTGGACAGGGAAGTTTCAGCGATGGTAATTGAGGTTAGAGAATAATTGATTGACAGTATTTTCTAGAAATACTAGTGTGGATTTGATTACTTTTCGCACCAAAAGCTCTCATTTGTTGTTGAGTTGTGTCTGATACTTCATGACCCCGTTTAAGTTAAGGCAAAGACACTGGAATGGTTTGTCATTTTCTTCTGTAGTTCATTTTACAGATGAGGAAACTGAGGCAAACAGAGTTAAGTGATTTGCCCAGGGTTACACAGCTAGTAAGTGTCTAAGGCCAGATTTGAACTCAGGAAGATGAGTCTTCCTGACGTAAGACCCAGCACTCTGTGCACTATGGCGCCACCTAGCTGCTGCCCTTCATCCCTGTACAAAATGCTTGCCCTGTTTCTGTTTCATCAATCCTATTCCCACTTCAACGCTTTGTCTCTGCACAGGCGAACTGTCCTTATGCTTCCCATTCCTTCCTTCATGAGTTATTGGAGATAAGGTCTACCTCCATCTGGTACTATCTCTTCTTCTGTCCTCACAATCTGTCTATACCCATCCTTCATCTTCTCTAAATCCTCCCTTAGCCCTTCCTAGCTCAGCACGGACCTTTCTTTCTCACTTTCCAATCCCCAGGCTACCAAGATGCCATGGTAGTATGGCATCTCCCTAGGAGGATGTGGCTGAGACCCAGTCAGACAACTAGCATTTATTAAGTACCTACTATGTGCCAGGCACTGTGCTAAGTGCTTGATCAGAGACATGACTAGAAATTTCTTCACCTATGTTAAGAAACTACATGCAGGGAACCCCAGCCCACCATCTGGTGGCTTCCTATTTTAACTATCCTTACTGACTAAATGCTGAATTACTGTGTTTCTGTGCTGCTCAAGAATTGTAAGCACTGTTAACATCATTTGCCCTCCAAATTCAGTGCTCTGGAGAATAAGCTCCAATCACTCTGTCTTAGTTATTGCCCTGTTGGGAATCCTTTTTCATGTATCCTCTGAATTACTGGTCCTAGGTCTAACTGGATGTTGGTGACTCAAGTTGATCATCATCAAAAAGTCCTTCTATGTGGGATCCAATAGAGTCAATAATAGATAGATGTTGCTGCTGTTTCTTTAATTGAATTGAATTAATGGTAAAAGGTGATGTAAATGAGAAAGATCAACTATCTGACTAGGTATTCAGACAATGACCTTGTGGGTCACACTGGTGGAGCCACCACTATAGGTTTAGTTGTGGCCTTCAACAGCATAGGTTTAGAAATTCAATTTTATTGGTTCTCTCAAGAATGATCAAGGTCTGGGGAGTTTACTTTTGCCAATCAAACTCACTAGAGACTGATTTATAAACCGTATTGAATTAATAAGAATTATTCTTGGAAGCTATGCCTGGGCTGAAAACTGTTACCTGTTGTCTGTACAGGGCCGCCCCCCCCACCCCCGCCTTGGGGAGCAGGTCCACTAGGAAACCTAATTACAAAATCAGAAGATTGTTTTGCTAATCATAGAGAGTAAAGGGAATGGGCTGTTCTTAAGGGATATTTCCACCAAAAATTGGTAGAATCCTATTGAATTTTCTCTTCTTTAGAGATTTGTTGTTGTTCAGTTGTGTCTGACTTTTTGTGACCCCATAGATCATAGCATGCAAGGCCTGTCTGTCCTCCACTATCTCCCAAAGTCTGTCCAAGCTCATGTTCGTTGTTTCCATGATACTATCTATCTCATCCTCTGCCATGTCCTTTTCCTTTTCTTTCCCAACATCAAGGTGTTTTCCAATGAATGCTGTCTTCTCATTATGCAAAGTATTTAAACTTCAGCTTCAGTATTTGTCCTTCCAATGCATTAATTTCTTTAAGTATTGACTAATTTTATCTCCTTGCTGTCCAAAGGACTCTTAAAAGTTTTCTCCAGCACTGCAATTCAAGCATGTTGATTCTGCAGTGCTCATCTTTCCTTATGGTCCAACTCTCACAGCCATATGTTGCTACTGAAAAAAACCATAGCTTTGGCTATATGGACCTTTGTCAGCAGGGTGATGTCCTTACTTTTAGTATGCTGTTAAGCATCTTTTCATTTCATGGCTCCAGTCATTGTCTATAGTGATATCTGAACCCAAGAATATAAAATTTGACAGTTTCCATTTCTTCTTCTTCCATTTGCCAGAAAGTGATAGTTGCCAAGATCTTGTTTTTTTTTTTAATGTGAAGCTTCAAGCCAGCTTTTTACACTCTCCTCTTTCACTCTCATCAAGAGGCTTCTTAATTCTTCTTTACTTTCTGCCATCAGATTGGTATTGTCTGCATACTTGAGACTGTTGATATTTCTGGCTTTAATTCTGGCTTTTGATTTGTCTAGCCTAGAATTTCACATGATGTATTCTGCATGTATGTTAAATAAGGTGACAATATATAGCCTTGTTTTACTCCTTTTCCAATCTTAAACCAATCAGTTGTTTCATATTTAGTTCTAAATGTTGCCTCTTGGCCCACATACAGGTTCCTCAGGAGATAGGTAAGATGATCCTTTTTATTGCCTATGAAGGCTACTCCATTTCTTCTAAGGGATTCTTGTCCACAGTAGTAGATGTAATGATCACCTGAATTAAATTCACCCATTCCCATCCATTTAAGTTCACTGGCACCCAAGATGTTGATGTTTGATCTTTCCATCTCCTGTTTGACCACATCCAGCTTACCGTGGTTCATAGATCTTACATTCTAGGTTCTGGTGCAATATTGATCTTCAAAGCATCGAACTTTTGTTTTGTCACCAGACATATCTGAAACTAAGCTTCCCTTTGGCTTTGGCCCAGTCACTTCATTAGTACTGGAGGTACTTGTAGTTGCCCTGTGCTCTTCCCTAGTAGAGTGTTGGACATCTTCCAATCTGAGGGGCTCACCTTCTGATGTCATATCATTTATAATTTTAATACTATCCATGAGGTTTTCTTAGCAAAGATACTGGAGTGCTTTGCCATTTCCTTCTCCAGTGGATCACCTTTTGTCAGACCTCTCCATTATGACCTGTTTGTCTTAGTTAACCCTGCATGACATAGCTCATAGTTTCATTGAACTAGAGATACTTCTGTTTGAAGAACCAATACTTATTGCTTAGAATTAGGGCATACTCTCCCCTGGACTGTACTAGATAAACACTGAGACAAGGTGGTATAGTACAAAGAGCATTGGACTTGGATTCAGAAGAAATTTGGATTTGAATCCTACCTTCATCTTTTACTAGCTCTGTAGTAGAGCTCTGCTCTATGGGCAGGTCATTAACTCCTATGAACCTCAGTTTCCTTGTCCATAAAATGAGGATGATGATAATACCTCCCTCTTAGAGGTGTTGTGAGAATCAAATTAGATCAACAAGTATTTACTAAGTGCCTAAGCCACCAAATGAAATAACATATGTAAAGTGCTTTGCAGTCCTTAAACTGAAATATAACTGCTACCTATAATAATAATTATTATTATTTACAATCGCATCCAACTCTTTCTGACCCCATTTGGGGTTTTCTTGACAGAGATACTGGAGTGGTTTGCCATTTCCTTCTCCAGCTCATTTTACAGATGAGGAAACTGAGGTAAACAGGGTTAAGTGACTTGCCCAGGGTTGCACCACTAGTAAGTATCTGAGGTCAGATTTTTAACTCAGGTCCTCCTGACTGCAGGCCTGGCGTTCTACCTACTGTGCCACCTACCTGCCTCAACAACCTGACTATGCTAGGTGCCAGGCATACAAATATAATGACTGAAATAGTCCCCACTTAAAAGCAGCCTAAATTCTAACGAGAAACAAGTACATATGTAAGAATATGACAAATAAATATAAAATGAATAAATACAGAGTGATTAAAATAAAGAAATTTAAGAAGGGGAAGGCACTACCAGTTGGGAGGATTCAGGAAAAGTTTCTGATAGGCAGTGGAACCTGAGCTTCCTCTGAAGGAACAGAAGGATTCTGTG